ACCGTGTGGAACACAATAGGCCCACCACTAGCCGGTTTGGGTAACCAGAATAGTGGGAGGGATGCTACATCCCGAGTTGACCCACCGATGTCAACTTAAAACCCAGTCGGTACCGCGGGAGAGGGGAGCCCCATCACTGCTAGACCGGTTCGCCGGTCTGGTGGCGGTGCCCCTCAAGGTTGAGGAGCCTACCTCGGCTGAAACGCGATGGTTGTGGGACCAGCGCTACGATAGTAACAAACCACTCCACCCAAGTGGGAGAAAGGAACCCTAAGGCGCAAGCTGACCTGACTCAAATGGGTACGTGTCCCCGGGCACGGTGCTGGTGGCCCCTATGGCGACCCGGGTAAGATTAGCTCTACCTGAACTCCTGCGGCCCGTAACTAGCCAACTGCGCTAATACACGGACCGTAGCTGTAAGGCACTAGCCACAAACTTAAGGATCTCTTGTTTGCAATAGCTTGGAAATACAAATCTTCGAATTCAAATTGATAGTATTCTTCTGCCGCGGTAGCTGCTTCATTGGTGATTTCGACTTCTATTATAGCGGACTGTATATTTTGAAACTCATCCCAACATTCTTCAATTTTTTCTTTACGTATTCGAATTTGCGATGCGTCTCCATCTGTGGCGACATCTTGTAGAAATTTTATGAATTTCGTGATACGGCCTTTTAATGTACCCCTCCGTGTCGATAGCGCAGGTAAGTCATCTGCCATATTCGCAGGGGCGGGACCCATTTCGCCCAAAAATGACCGTACCCGTTTCGCCCGGGTACCCGTTTTGCCCAAATTTTATTTTTATATGATTTCCGTTTCGCCCAGAGTAGTTTAGACCAATTTAAAATTAAGTTGGCAATAGTTCAGTCAAATATTTGGTATATTTTAGGGAACGTTATAATACTTATAGCAATAATCCAGTCGTTATCGAATTGAAATCGATCAAAATCTTAAAAGCGAATTTATCAATGTGCTGCATCATTACCGTAGCTTATCTTATCTAATTTAAAAAGGTACCTAACCATAAAACAAATTACATACTTAAAACTTATAAAAGTAATGAACAAAAAAGATTACCAGCGTAGTGCGTATATGCAACGTCGACGTRTAAACATATAACGAATTTTACTAAAATGGCTGTGTTTTTAAAAAGTAAAAGAGACAAAGATATGGTAATGTTTAATTATTATAAATACAATTTTGGTTCAAATWACGTAAATACAAGTGAGGTTCGTTGGCGGTGTGTAAAACGTTCGTGTTCTGCTACGTTATATACTTTTGGTTCTAWWGTTGTAAATGAAGAAAATATTTTATTATCTGATCAAGATCGCCACAATCATATACCATGCAATGATTCAGATATAAACCGGCAAATAGTGAGTACAACTTGTAAACGAAAAGCTTCGGAAGAACTTTTTATACAACCAAAAAAAATGATTTTAAAAGAATTAGCACAGAACTCTCAACTTGCTGATGGCCTAACATCAAACGATTTTAATACAATTAGAAAAGTAATAT